CAGAACTCTCGGTGTGTTTCTTACTATTAATAATTCTGAATAATCATATAGTGAGCTCATTTTAAGGCTAAAAAGACTCATTATAAACAAGTTCAATTGCTCGTGACTCTCCGTAATTTTCTCATCAGTTATACTTCAGAATTATCATTAAATAATCTCAATATAGGGCTAGCAAATTGCTGATAATTCATACGCTAATTTGCGCAAAAATGCTGGGTGTTTTTTTATTATTTTTTTGTTCAGAATAAGCATAAAATGAGCTCATCTAAGGGCTAGCATATGACTCATAATTAACAGGTCGAATTGCTTTGAATCAAACTCTTTCTTTAGTCATCAAACAGAATTAGCAACAATGCCCTTAATTTATCTAGCAGCAGGAATCGGTCTAAAAATTATCATTGTGTTCTTATGACTTCACAAACCCTATCAAAAAGTTTGGCTCACAGCAGAAATCATTCATCATAAGTTAACTATACTTTTAGCGATCATAGGAAGCTCTCAATGATAAATTTGTTTAGTAGAAATTGGTCTCTGTTTGATTATCATCTTGTGTTGAAGAGCCACCTTAGAAGTTAACAACATTCAATCGTTAATACAGATGTCAAAACGAATTGACACTATTCTGTGAATGCAGAAAAAAACTCATTGACATCATTCTGAGAATGCATTTTTTGTAAATGCAATCTTATTATTCATAATACAAGAAACTCTAGTATAAATTTTATTCATTCATGAAAGCAAAATCATCAACGAATTTGTAACATGAAAAAAGTAAAAATAATGATATATATTTTTAAAATTTTGCTTTAGACACTGACTCGTAGCTTCATCCTAATATTAAAGTATTCAATAACTCATGACAAATCAATAAAATAAATCTCGAGTTTGAGATGACCGAAACTTCTGAGCATACATCATGGTAAATATTATTTAATAAAATTGATCTAACTACATAATATTGTATTTCAAAATTGGGTAAATTAGTATTGAGTATTTTTAGCTGGTTATTTATAGGACTGTGTATGCGTGTAATGATGAAATGCATTTACAGTGAACACAAAAAGTTGAATGTTGTACTGGGAACCACAAAGACGCCATTGTAATAAGAAAAGCGCAATCTAGTTTCATCTTCAAAGCAATGAAGCCAACGCTTAGATGCTTGCCTAAATTGAGCTATAACTTAAAAGACTGAGGTCGGCGTAGGAAATTTCGTTTTGTGAGCAAAGTGACTTTGCACGTATTACATTATCATATATTGCTGTCATTTTGCCGTAAAGTTCATTGAGAAAAAGAAACTTTTTCAAGAAGTCTCCTAGATGATAATGTATTTTTTCAACATATAGCGTAGGCAAGTAAGCATATACATATTCTATGTTTGCGGGGACTTGAAACACGCAGTTTTCGCTGAACTTTTTGCTGGGAGCTCCGGCAAAAAGAACAAGCTTTCATCCAATTAATGTCGAATGCATGGTTCCTTTGCAGATGGGACTTAATGTTATTAAAAACAGATTTTTTATTACAGAGTAGCGTAAGTAGGAAATTTGTTGCTAGTTTCCTCTTCGCTCTTCCTTTAGTAACAGTAATGATGGGCAACGCCTGCTCTGTTCCTGATCTTCGACAACTAAGGCAGAATTTTTACTGCTTGGTTTGATTTTGAAACCGTAACTGTAACTAATTCCTACAGTCTTGTTGTTCTTAATCACCTTACACACAACAATTAAATAGACAAGAAATTTATTGCACGGTTTCCGTAGATTGGCGCCACAGTTTGTACTGCCATAAATAATATTGTTGTCTCAATGTGAATGTTGATATTATAGTTGATATTATATATGGTGTTTCTTTCAACTCAGTGCGTTTTTTCTACATGACTAAAGAGCGAAGAACTTTCGTTGTTTTGTTTTCTCAGAGCAAAATATTGAAGTATTTGAGGATTCACTTCACTTTGATGTTGGTCACATGCCGCAACAAATGACTCGCTATTAATTATTATGCCACTTTAATTAAAGCGGCAGGCATTTCCTTGTACACATATTCAAATATGGAGATAATTCTCAGCCTCACCCTGCACTATGCCAGGAAAAATTTCCAGTCAATGCATAATCATTTTCTTAATTAAATGTTTTCGTGTGGTGTGTAATTTGTCGTTATAATAAAATCAACAGATTACTTATTTAATTTCAAATATATTCCCTTATTTTATAAATATTCCCATGTATTCTAGAGCTACTCCATTCCCTGAAGTTTCAGGGATAGTTGCAAGCAAATCTGATGTTTCTAAAAAACATTTAAAATAGAAGTGTAGATTATCAAATAAAATTGCAGTCTTATTATAAAATTACGAACGACAAACTAAACATTTTTAATTTTATCAAAATATTAACAAAAGTTAACTATGGTACAAAAAGTCAAAGCTTTGCAAATGGCGTCATTCATTCAGTGAAATTGATTAATTCAAGTTTTGAAATGAAGTAATCATTCAGATTTAAGCAGAACTAACAATTAATGAATATTATGTTTTAAAACCTCATGATACGAAATCCTGGTAAATACTTCAAATTAATGACACTCTGAATACGACGTATATTCATTCAATCGCCATAAAGTAATGAAAATTAAATCGCCGAATAATTTATAGGCTTTTGCAAAGTACATAGAATATTGCCCGTGAATTGAAACTCTTATTATTTTAAATGAAACACTTGATTAGTTCGATTTTAACAATGAATTGCTTGAACACTTGATTATTTATAATGAGACACTCGATATCTTCGTTTTAACATTTGATGATTTAGAATGGAACGCCAATTTATTTCGTATAGAACTCGTATAAAAGTAGAATAGAAGTGCGAAAATTAATCGATCGATTTACCCCCCGTTTGGTATTGAAAATGATTAGTTATATCTTAAGTAATTGCAGTATACAAAAATGATTAATTAAATTATTACGAATAATGATAAAAGATAAATAAAATAATCGCAAAATAATATTAAAACTTAACCCTCTACCGCATGACATGAGTAACCGGAGCAATATTGTCACGCACCTACTTCCAAAAAAGATACGTTCTATTGAGCGCAAATGACTGATGTTGCGGCCACGTACGACAACTTTAAAATGTTCTCTGTTGCGTATAAACGTCCTCAGGTTGCTACACTCAACAGTTTACGTATAATTTGAGTTGAACGTTGTGTTCCCGGAGAGTGTCATACGGCGGTAGAGGGTTAAAATGAACTCTGCTCCTGACTCGTTTTCCTTCGTACGATCTGCCAGCGTATTGATAGTATTGAGGAGTTGTATATAGTCTGTATTAATCATTTTTATTAATAAAATTTTATCGGGGGAATCCATCTGTACAATTCAGACCTATGAACGGAAACAAAAACATGCAAGGCAGGAAAAGACAGACAGGATCTAAATTAGGTGTAGTAGGCATTTCCAACGCTATATGTATATATAAGGACTCTGACAAATGAACGCATCTATAGTATGACAAAATATTCTAAATTTTCCAATAGACCAGCTCAAAGGCGTACCTATATTTCGTATTATGTGTTGGTGTCATTTACAAGTTAAAAATATGACTTGAAATGTCGCAAAAAAGTCTACCTATAAGCGCTCTAAACGCTACATGAAAAATGATGAATATAATCACCTATAGTATGACAAAATATTCTAAAATTTCCAATAGACCAACTCAAAGGCGTACCTATGTTTCGTATTATGTGTTGGTGTCATTTACAAGTTAAAAAAATTGACTTGAAATAACGCAAAAAAGTCTAATTAAGTCTAAGTCTAAGTCTAAAAGTCTAACTAAGCGCTCTAGGTGCTATATGAAAATTTATGAATATATTTAGTGCATTATAAGAATGAATTACATGAGATCTCATACCATGACCGCATGTTTTGAAAGGATAACTTGCTTTCCTCAAGATCTCTTGCTTTCCTCTTTACATTAATATTTCACGCCCGAAACAAATACTAAGGACATTAAGGATACTAATGCCAGGTGAACACACGCTCTAAAGTCTAAACTGCTTCTTGGTCCTTAAATAAATATATAAATGTTGGAAAGAGAGAGAGAGAGAGAGGGATTGTATTTTTCAAAATTATATGCAAAATGAATAAGTTGGACTTGTATGCACTCACTTGTTGGAGTGAGTGAATTTAAAGAGAAATAAGCAGTAAACGGATTTCGACTTTTCATCGAATCCTGTTAGTTCCAAAGGACGCCATATTAATCGTGTTCAAGAGAGAGCGTCTTAATATTTCCTTTTAATTCAGTGCTTCTCAGTAGAAACTGAGAACGTACGTAGTTTAGCGGCGGATTTCAAAGTAAATTGGGGACAGGAAGCGTTCAGGAAAATATGTGTTGAAAGGAAGGAAGGATGAAGATGCTCTAAATTAAACCTCTTGAAGGTGCAGCAGCGCAGCGGGTTTCATTTTGTGAAAACTGTTTCCCGTGCCGCGGGTTTCAAGTGGATCTTTAATAACTGAAAAATTACTTTGCCTCACCAGTGAGATTCTTTCTTCAAGTGGCGTTTTTGTGTTTTTTAAGCCATAGGATTGAGAATGCATGCTACTCTAAAATTGATCTTAATAGAAAAAGTTTTTGCAAAATGCTATTTATCGTATTTTTAAATAATAGGAATATTATAGTTATTTCTATCAAATTCTCAAACAGAAAGAATACGATTTTCACTAAACGACGGGTGTGACTGTATTTCAGCTAATCGAAAACTTAGGAATAGGAAAAGAAATAAATCAAACACTAGAACGAGAAAAATTGTTTTTAAATTACTTTGTGTTCAATATGCTCTCATTAATAATAAATTCCTTCAGCAGTGTTATCTTTTGAAAGTATTTTGAACCCTCTGCTTTCAATTTATTCGTTGACTTCATGAGTGACACTTTGCCTATCATTACAAAGGTCATGTTTATGACCAATTATTACCAAATTAATTACCTGAGTTTATGAACAATAACTGCACGTAAAGGCTCACGAACATAATTGTTCTCTACCGAAATAAGAACAATTGAGACGTTCAACGGAAGGAATAGACAAATTCCTTACGTTTCGCTCCTCTGTCAGCTTCAAGTAGCCTAACATTCTCATGGATGCAGAGCACGCAGCTTCGACTTCCTTTAATACGGTAACTGAAAATCTATCGTTTCTCCATGAACTCCATTGAAGTTCTTTTATGCGATACGTCGAGTATGATTGTTTTTGTATGTTGCTGTTGTGGGATTCGATGTAACTTGAGACGGGTTCCGGTAGAGGTTCACTGACACCCGATCGAATGAAGTTCCACAGTTTTTGTAATTGATCTGCCATGTAAAAATTCGCTCAATATGTCACCTTTAAAATGGTGTGATATTTGAACTAAGTCTATACTCCATGGAACGAGGTTTTATATCTAACGTCTAGGGTTATAATCTATGGTATTATAATAATGTAACGTCTATGGTTAATTACATTAGTAAAAACTAATTCTATATCTAATAAAATTTCAATATTATTTGATATTTTAAAAAGCAGATTGACAAGAATTTCTTGTATGAACAGTTTTTGGGGAGTATTTCAAGTAATATTTTACCGAATGTTGCCAAAAGTAATAATAAGTTGGGCTAATATAATTCCAGTATTAGAAATTCCTCATACCAAAATTTTCATTTCATTATTAGCTAAAAATTCCTGGGGGATGGATATTTACCTGCGGTGCTCCGGCATAAATCTTCATACCGAACGAAGTAGAAGTTTTTTGGAAACTTTTGAGAAAGTTTTGAAAAATCGCTTAAATCTTTGTCAAGTTGACTGCACAAAGCTGTCGAGTTTATCATAAACTCCATTTTATTTTTCACCCTGTCAATATAAATGAAAAACCATTTATTATGTATGAAAGATCTAGATTGAGTCTTTAGAATTGGACAAGACGCGGACAAAAAATTGAAATTATGGATTATGTTAGGAAATGCTCGAAAAAATACTTTAACTTATTGAAGTGTGTTCTCCTACCAGTAAATTTATTTTAAAATGATAAGAAAGAAAAAAATTTGGAGCGCTGTTCCAGTCGATTGTACACAATTGAATGGAAAATACTACATAATATTACAATGAAATACTCCAATACTATTTTATACAAAGTACGCTAGATAATCAAAAATATTTGCGAAATAAAAAAAATTACAATAACTATCGCATTTTATCAATAAACTATCATCGCAGAAATATAAATTCTCTTTAAACATTTAAAAAGCGAAGTGAAACATATGATTCCATCACTCACCAAACCGCCATGAGACAAGTTCAGCATTAATATCATGAGAACAAGTGTGAAAATAATACTATAATTTCAGTTATATCTGAAAATAAGTAGTGATAAGCGCATTTGTATATCTAGGCAACTGATCGAGGAGCAGTAAAGGAACATAGGAGAACAATCTCCTATTATTAGCAGCGAGTTGTCAATTGTAATCGCTTACGAAATCAGCTGATAACATCAAGTGTTATTGAATTCTAAGGCAAACTAAAGAAAAATGACGAATTTATTTATGTTTTTGTTTCATGTGTGAGGACCGACATAAACATTATTGATTTGATTTGCAAACTCGTCACTAAAAAAAGCACAATTTGATTATAAATTGATTACGGGGTTGAAATTTACTGTAAAATGTGTGTTTTTGTTAATTACAGATTATGTTTAATATGTTTAACACTAATTAAACGGTATGTTTAACACTAATTAGACGAAGTACATTTCTATACTCAGTTTATTCATATATGGAATTCGATTATGACCGAGGTTAAATGAAATATGAATATGAAATATGAAAATAGAAAATAATTTTAACATTTTTCAAGCGGCTATGCGATTAAATGGATTTTCCTTACCAATAACGGAATGCATCAAAGGCTCTGATTGTACTAATAACTTCAAGTCACTTATTATTCGGTTAAGAGTCCGTCCATCACTCAATAACTTAATAATGCTCATTACCAGACTAAGTGGTTGAAATCATATGAATTTATGCACAAAGATTTCAAGTATGGCAGATGCAATACAATCAAATGATCGTGTAGAGATCGTCACTCACCACGACGTCAACTGCGCCCGCGGGTCACGAACTTGGTAAATGATTCGCAGCTCACGCAGAGCTGAGGAGGCTAAAAGATGTTCTGTGCTGGCCACTGACATACGAATATCCTGTGGTAAATGCATTATTAATACAACACTTGAAATAACAATGAAAAGGTTGGAGAATATAGCTCATCAAATGTAATGAGGTAAATAGCTTTGATAGCCTTACTGCATCGCTTTTGATGAAACTATTGTGACATGTTGAGGCTAAAAAAGGTCAAGTCACGTCGAGCTAAATGCATAAATCGAAAAATCACCATTAACATTGTTTACTGTCTTTATGCATTTTTATGAGCCTAAGAAATGCCCTAAGATGTTGGTGTATTTTTTACATTTACACTCGTGAAAACAGTGATTCCAATAATCGAGTACCAGTAACAGTAATTGTATAAGTGTCTCGAGTTACGTATTTTCTGTGTAGCCAAAGAACTATGTCAGTAGATCGATGTTTAGGAGATGGTTGAGTAAAAAGTTTTACCGACATAATAAGTGACGAAAAGCACCATCAAAGCTGTGTAGATGAGACAAAATTGTGACATTATTTCTGATTTTTAAGAGTTGATCTTAATGTAAAAAATTTAAAATTTTTTCATGAATTTTCCTAGTTCCTAGATGCAGAAGCGATGAAGCAGTTGTTTGTTGTTGACGTGCGCCCGAATCTAGAGTTTGAAAATGTTGTGTGGTCACCGAGATTTGAAAAGGACAAAAATTTAATAGAGAATATTCAGAGACGTGCATTTCCTAAAGGGTTCTGTGGCTCTCAGAGTCAAATGTACCACATTTTTGCATTATTGATTCGACGTTGTTAATTTTTCGTTAGACGTCTACTTATTTTATAAATTTTTAGTGGAATAAAATATTATATATTAGATTATTGTAAGCTAATTCTGTTAGCACATTCATTTGAAATATTTTAACTTATTTGTCTTCTCTTTGCAATTAATTTGTGTAATTTCTTTGCCATTAGTCTGAATTCCGAGCCCTTATCTCAAACCTTAATCCGGCATCTGAATAAACGCACAATTGTACTCACATATTCACATTGTTGATAGAATAAACTGAACAATATTAATAGCGTAAAGTCATACTGAGGTGCGTGGTGAGAAGCTACATATAGCAGGGCCCCTACAACGCAAGTGTGACGACCAACATTATGTATATGATACAGCCAATATATAGCCTTTGTATATTGAGCACCGTTCTGAACACCTGAAGTTGATTTATGCCTTTTGCGTGTTCTCAGAAACGTTAATCATTATTCTCATAGGAGAATAACTAAAGCTCCGGTTTTGGAAGCTAGTGTAGTTTCAAGTTCCTACCGCTAACAGCGGCAGCTAAATGGTTGATGTTGATGTGATAGATTAGTTAGTATACTCATTGACAGTAAATTGGCCACGTTTCATCTTCCTAATATATTTAAATATAAAATAATAGTGCTAAGAGTGAGGTATTGACACTAAATTCAATGCGAAATACCGCCGAAAAGTGTATTTACTCATGTTCAGATAAGTTTTGCTTTATCAAAGAAAGTAAGCTTCTGGGATAAAATAGATTTTCATCTCGAACAACAATCTGACGGAAAAAGTTATTATGCTTCATTTGCAGGTGCATTGTATAAATATTTGTTGCTTACCTTAATGATAATTATCGAAGCACTTCTACAGATATTCGGAAGATCATTTATTATGTATGTTGAATTAAATCGAGGAATTTGATCCAAATTAGGCAACTTGTAGAGGAGTTTCCACGTTCTCATGAGTTTGTACATTTCCTTCGAAAACTCACAATTGAAGAGACTTGAGATGATGGCAACTGCTGTGTCCGCTTCCATACTTTTGTTGTACAATCGCTCGGAAACTTTGAGAGGTTCAAACAAGTAAAGTACTTCAGTGTTGGCTTGCGCTAAGATTTCTGAAACCCAGGAGCTTCCAACACGCCCGAGGCTTGTATGTAGGATCAGTAGACGGTCCTTTCTCAAAGGAACTTTTTCATTTTCGTTAGCACTCGGCATGCGGATTTTTATTGGTGCCAAATAGTCTTTTTTTCCAGCACCGCCTTCCATTTTCATGAAAGTCAAGTAATATTTATCAGTGATGGAGCGTACTCTAGAATACTTTAATGAGGTTAAATCGTTATTTCTTCTCCTAACGGATTCATTTGCTTGCGCAAAGAAATTTTTCTTGCCCCTAAAATTTTTGATACTTTCATTAACCATGGAAACCTGACTTAGTTTTTTTACATTCTCATTTTGATTTTCATTTTTCGTTTCACGGATCTTGTTTTCCCTTCGCAGATCATTGGTTAATTGTTCAAGTTTTTTTACAGGAATTAAGCCGCTCATATTCCTTGTTTTTTCATCGCTTGGAGGGTTATTTTTATCATTCGCTGAAGTGACAATCGAGCGCGAATCTGTAAAATTTACCGATGAAGTTAAGATAAAAATCTGAGTTGCTTAAATGCAATGTAGTATCAATAGTCACTGAATTTACAATAAAATATTTTATAAACATATAATTACCGAAAATTTGTATTTTTTAGCTATTATTAACAGTGAATCTACCGATACTACGTGAAAAAGTTCTCATGTTATTGTTTGATAATTTTTAATTTTATGAGTGCATTTATTATGGGTTTTTATGAGAGTATTCATCAATGTCACCGTTGATGTTAGCGAAATAATTTTGACTGCCATCTGGTCATATATAAAACACAACTACTATTAAACTTATCAATATCTAACCCTCTAAAACAACTTCTTAACGTAAGGTTGTTAAAATTCCATGTAGTTTACATGAGTAATAAAACATTAGAAAAAGCGCGAGGATACTCACGTGTTAGAGATAAACTCGTGAATATTGCAGATGCGGACAGTGCAACTAAAGCCAGCTTCATCAGTTTGGGGTAAAATCTCACGTATCGGGGTAAGAAAAAATGCCTCATCCTTTGACTGAGTTTAACTGCTTCGAACAAATATGTTTTAAGGATTTGGAAGGGAATAATTGATGGAAATACTAGGTAGGCGAGTTAGGAAATTATTTTAAATAATGTCATTGATGAGTTAAGTGTTTTTGAAAATCCTTAAGACATTAATGCAACTAGCAAAAAAGGCTCATAATTATTTCTCATAATCGTATAATTATAGTTCAACATAAATGTATAATTACATTTCAATAGAATCATATAACTGCAATTTGATTTCTGTTAAAAAATTATAAATAATATTGATACGTAGAGATAAAAAAGATCGAGAGGATAGATTTGTTCGCGAAAATTTCGTTTCAGATTCATACTCAAATGTTTTAATCAATGATAAGAATCCGTACCGCTCCTGTGGATTTAAAATTTCTGAGACGCGTTGACTTTGCTTATATACGCGTATATGTGATCCCAAAATTATTTAAATTAAATATTATAGTGCCACTTCTAGCACTCCACTCACAGCCTTAAATTAAAAAAATATATATATCCTGAAATCTTATGAAACCTACAATCTAAGAGAAAAAGCCAATTCTGAGCCGTGGCTCTGGATTTTCTGCTTTTTAAAGTGAGTTTTAGAAAAAAATTGCATGAATACATTCAAGTCATTTTCGGCCATTTTGTGTTGTTCAGAGAATTAAAATGTGGATTTAATGAAAGTTGAATTTCAGGGCCTACCAAAAATTTGATGGCTATTTAAAATTTGGACAAAAGTACTTACAATTATGGTAAGAAATCGCGATTTTTTAAATTTCATATCCAAACAACAATATTCCGCTAATTAACATACATTATTTACAAGTTAGTTACAAATTAGAAATATTCCAAGAGTTTGAATTTCATATTCTCATGGCTCAGCAAAACAGTTCAAAGGATTTCGAAATTATAATCTGAACTTTTAACTGAAATTCTGTGAGTTCTACAGAATTTCGTCAATCCCTAAAGCGATAGTGAGACTAATTGGAGCTAATATTAAAAGAAATAGGATATAGTAATAGTAAAAGCGGTGTCAGCTTTAATTTGGTCATAAGACCTTTCGTAGAAATTTGCAGTCAAAATTTGTGTATTTAGTGCATTGAGACATATTAATAATTCATGATTTGATTCTGAGAAATAAATTCACGTAACTTTTCCTAATCATGATGAGTCCACTCCATGAAAGCTCCATTTCTACATAAACTATCATTAATACACGTGTAACCACTATCATTGTTTTATAATAATGTTGTTCAAAGCATATGTCGATTTATCGGGTAGGATATAATGTTGAATCACTAGTGTCCAGAGGACGCTGTATAACACAGTAGACGCTGTCAACTGTATTATAGTATTCCTGGAACAATAATAAAATCAAGATCAAATGAACTAGCTAGATGAAGTGGTTTCGATAACACATAAACCAGAACGAGTGTATATTGAAAGTATATGCATTACCACCAGCCAGCCAAAATGTCATTAAGCTATGCCTTCATGAACTTGAACATATTTTCAAATTTTATATCAACAAGTTAGTGGAGCTTCGGTACAGCGTACACCCTTCGAAGAACGTCAGACAAACACTATTCATTGACCTGTAGTCCCGACCACTAAGCTCTTTAGGAGGGCTCATCGCACAAGTGTTACTCACATACTGTAAACGAAAACTCGGGGGAATAATCGATATTGTTCTTCTCATAATCACCATCATTATATCTGTATAGCTCGAACAAACATTGATGAGCGCATAACAACAAATGCCCCCATTGAATAAATTAGCCCCCATAAGCGATACAAGCCAGATTAGAAGGTATATATTCGATTTATATACAAAATTTGAAAATTTCGGGTTGAAGGTTTACTTAACCCAGAAAAATTTGATTTTGAATTGCAATCAAATTGAATTGAATCAAAATTTGTAATTTCACAATCCCTCAAGCGGGATAGAAAAAAAACCACCGAAGTTACAACTAAAAATATTTAAAAACTGTAGATTTAATTCGAATTGCCGTGCTTTTAGTTCCTATATGAAAATGAAGATTTTGGACCGGTATTCAAAAAAATAATTTTTTAAACATAAATAACATCAACCGCATGTTTCAGAGATTGCACTCAAGAATTTTCTAGCGATTGTAATAAAAATTTTTATTGTGTCTAGCTTCCTAAGAAAGCTGATCCGTCTCTTAAAATCGTTACGGTTTTAGTTCCGGATACGGTTAAAATCGTTAACATCGTTACGGTTTTAATTTACTATTTTAAAACTTATAAAAATTTATATAGAAAATTTGTTATGTTAAGGTGAATTTAAAGCCTGAAGCACTTGCACTTGATTTTATGTTATGAAAACGAAAATGTGAAAATTTTTTTTGAAAGAATTGAATGAGATTTTGGAATTATAAATTTTCTTTCATGATTAATCAGTTTTTTTAGTCTTTTTGGTATGTTATAATATAAACATAATTGAGATTAAAGCTTAGGGTTCGATGAACTATTAAAGTGATAGGGAGTCTGACATCGGTATATCGAGAGCATAGTTATAATGAAAATTCGTATGTAACATTTCAACACTAATGCTGGAAACTAATGTGATATATCAGATTAGATTTGAACAAAATTCAATTAAGGACTTGAAATTTTACATTTATCCCATTTTTCTTCATTATAATTATGTTCTAAGTATACCGATATTAAATTCACTTTCCCTTTTACAGTCCATCGATGCATGAGCTTTAATTTCGAGTTATGCTTACGTAATAGCATACCAAATGACTGGACAAAACTGACTCATCACGAAAGAAAATTTGTAATCCCCAAATTTCCGCCAGTTAGAATAAATTATTTCGTTGTTTTATTTCATTTCTTCTCGCTTCGAGTCACTGACATGTGGAACAGCCTTCCTGAAAATATTGTCTTAAAATGCCTCGTACCCTACGGAACAACTGATATCTAGAAGCGATTTTTGATCTACCGTCCGTTGAAAAGATCTGATCAAAAGGCCAGTCTAGTCAAGAAAAGTACAAGAATCGGCGACAGGCCTATCCAGGCCTATTCTTTCATGCCGAAGATACTATACTATACCATACTATACTATACCATAACATGAAATTATGTGCTTCAGGTCAGTAATTCAGCAAGTCAAAGAATTGACGAGTGACATACCAACCGATGAAATAACTGCCATTACGTTGTTATGGCAGAGCGTTCTATCTTTTTTTGCTATCTCAAAACAAATCTGTAGAGATAGTAAAACAGAACTATTTAGTCTTGCAGCGTCTTCCGTTGGAAAAAATTGTCCTGAATAACGGACAAACTATTATTATGTGACTCAACCTAAGCCGATGCTCAAGTATTGAATATTTAGGTTTAATTTATCATCTATAGGGATGATCATAGGTAACAGCTAGTTAATTGCCTAGTGAGTCGAAACCCAAGTTTCAGACAATGTTCATTGGATTTTAAATGGTAATGTCTGTAGCAAATTAATCATCCGATATGATTAGTGACTAGGTATTCAGAATAAGATTGTTTCAACAAATTATTATCGAGGAGTACACTGTTCTTGTTCGTTGTTATCGTCCTAATAAAGTGTCAACGATGAGGCTTCCCACTCTTCACGCACCAACGTTATATTGTCCCTAATCTAAAGATTTATTAAAGTTCGAAAAGGTCCAAATTTCAAAATCAACAAAACGAAAGCCAGCAAGCTCTCGTACCCTCTCACTTCAATGAACCGCATTTTTTTTTAATATTGGAAGATTCTCATAGTATTAGTTATCATATTGTTTCTAATATACGAAACAAATTTTGAAGGGTTTCATTGTCGGCCCTGTCAACTGCCGCATCAGCTGAGGCACCGCATAAAGGCCTGTAGTGATCGTTTGTAGACTGCGTTGTTTAACTATTGACTTGATACTATGGATTTATATAGGGCACTGGCAGGCGTTTATGGCTTAATAACTTTATTCACAAAGCAGGTTAACAAAATCTATACAATTGGGCACAAATTGGTATACGACCGAAGTTTAGCTATGATTTCAGCTCCATGATTAAATTCTTCGGATCATTGGATAAGTAAAAGGTAGCGAGCGTATCATGGATGCTTTACTCCTGGATTCGGCGCCACGTGTCTCCACCAACCCAAACTCCACCCAACAACCTATAATTTCCGTTTTCTAATTTGATCTTACAAAACAAATTCGATATTTCAGTTTAATAAAGCACGTGGAAAATGACTTTTCCAACATCTTCATGCATTAGTGAATTCGACATATTTGATTATGGAAGTCTTCAGATGGGGTCTTCATTATGATTATGGAGTCTTCATTTGAGTATTTATAACGATAAAACTTTGAAGAACTCGTTGCCTGATTTTCGCTCTGGAGACAGCTTACAATGAGAAAATTATATACTATCTGCAGCTGTCATTATATTTTGGGTACACGGCCAACAGCCAGGCATTCCGCAATTCAGAAATTATTACCCTTGAGAGACGAGCTAAGAAATCATTTGATATCTGAACGAAAAACAGACATCAAAATCTGTGCTGCGTCCAGCAGTTCCGGAAATCACAGCTGTAGTTTCTGATGAACGGAAGTGATAAATTTTTCATGTTCTCGACGCTCATCAGTGCAATGTAGCCGAGACGGTCCTTGGCTGTAGAGCAAACATTTTCGACTTAACGAAGGCTCTCCAGCGTGATGTTCGTGTTTTCGCGTTACGCATAACATTCAGTGCTGGAGTTTCTGTAGGTGCTGTACCTGGCCTTCTTAATTTTTCCAGTGGATTTTTTTTTTCAATTGGCTACGACGCGTCAGAAAATTAATCCATTTTTCCAGCAACATCGCATATGGGTCCGTCTGTTGAATTTCCAAGGAAAGTTGAATGGCTTCCTCTGCACATAGTCAAAAAAAAAACATTTATATAAATAGACATGAATAGATATCGGCAGCAATAGACATCGCCAGTAATAAACACCTACAGAACTGGACATTGATAAACATAAACATAGAGGGAAATGGACATTGACACAAATATAGATATCGACTTAAGTACATAAAGACATAACAAATTAATCATTATGAATTAAAGGATTCCTTCTGACATTTTCTGCCTCTTTATGTTGTTCAGAGAATACAAATATTGGTTGAATGCCAGTTGAATCTCGTGACCTACGAAAAACTTAATGTCTATTTGAAATGTGGACACATGTATTAGAAATATATATTTATTTCAAATCATGGCAATAAATCTTGAATTTTTTTTATTTTAAATTCAAACAGCAATATTCCTCTAATGAACAAATTTATTTACAAGTTAGGAATCATCCAAGAGTTGAAATTTCATATTCTTTTCGCACGGCGAAACAGTTCAATGTATACCGAAATTATAATCTTAAATTTTTACGGAAATTCTGTGAGTTCTACAGAATTTCTTCTATCCCTCAGGCTACATCGATATGAATTGGGGCTAATACTTTCAGAAAAGAGAAGGATATAGTAATAGTAATAGCGGTGTCAGCGTTAATTAAGCAGTTAAACCTTTCGCAGATTCTAAATTCGTAGAATGTTCACAGCTTATTGCGGGTCTCGAACATGTAACTCCCTCCTCCGATTTTGCTCTGCATGCTTAACCACTGAATTCGTCACTCAAATTTAACTACAGGCTGCTGGCAAAAATCATCATATCTCAGGAAATAGAAGAATTGTCCGAACAGCTGTGGCAATATGCCTCAACATCTGCCTCAACTTTGACGCATTGTGGATGTGAAACGCCACTTCTCTGCAGAGACGAATGACATAGATAAGCGAATTATTACATTCTATTACTGCATGATACGATGCTATCCAGTATTCTGTGCAGCTAAATTACCTTTTATATAATCACAGGCAATAATTAGTTGTCTGATGAGAGAAAATTCTTCTTTTTGGTGAGTTGATTCGCAAAACCAAGGAAAATTTGATAATTTCTTATGAAATAATTGATTATATTTAGCCTAGACGGTTTCAAAGTTGAATTAGGAATAATTGAAAAAATTAATCAGAATTCTTTATTTATTCGGCCGAATATTCGTAAAGAACCTACCTTTCGAACAATAATTTGAAGCAGACAATCATTAATTAGATCGAAATAGACTAATAATATGTTTTAGTGTTTAATTTTTTGGGCAATACTGTGCTACTTCGTTTTGAAAATGACTGATCGAAATGCTGCATATTGTTCAGAAGAATTTGAAGCCATTTTTACTGCAAGGTTATGGTCATGTCACTTAGTGAAGCTGCTGGAAGAGATGTTGCCTGATTTGTTTCTACAAAACAATTCATCGTGGGTCAATAAATTCGAGATATTATGACACAAGAATTTTCTTACTGTTTTAAAGTCAACTTGGTAAGACGGTAAATGCCTGATAAGATAATGATACATTTGTGTTAATTTAAAACGTGCTTACTCTGGTTGGGTGACTAGAAGCAGACTTAAAAAGAAATAAAAAGATTCTGAAAATGGCGAGTTTGAAATTAACTTCACGTTTCCCCCATCTGAAATAATTAATGTGCATTGCGTGACATATTAGGTAGTATGTTTAGGTTAGTGTTTTAATTTATTTTCAATGTACATGACCGACCCATGAAAGGCTCATATTGCAATCAAATTCGTATTAATAAAATAGGGTTGCTGAAAGAAAATTAGTTTTCATGATGTTAAACACAAATACCTTTAGGTTTTATCCAGCATATTATAGAGAGGAAAATTATCATTTTACGAAAGTACACGAGAAAAGTACTTAATATTTTTCAACCATCTAAACTTTTAATTTTTGAAATAAAACATTGTTTTAATATAACTTGCAGAAAAATGACTGAATTTAGCTGAAACTGATACTCAGCATAAGAAATGGGACTAGTCAATTAACAAATAAACAAGATTTATCGCCTTAAAAATTTAATGGGCTATTAAATAATCATGATTCGCTTTTTTTTTCTAATTTTTCCAACAATAATGCAAGAACATATATCATAAATTTTAATGCCATTCAGTAAAATCAACGTTAAATGTTCATTTGTACAATTAGCTGCCAATGTATTGTTTCTTGTTGCCTTTATTGATCGTCTTTGGATTAGTTTAATGAACTAGATAAAAATTTAATATTTAATTAAAATTAAATACCTCATTATACTGGACGGAGATTGATGTATTCTAATATTCATTCATGTTCATCAGTTTTTTCAGTTTTATAATATTCGCGAAGACATTACAATAATGTGAAAAGAAATATACGCGACACTTCAAAGAATAGTTAAATTTGATTTCAAATAATATAACTATCACAACATAAAATAAAGATTAAAATTTACTTACTGACATGAATAATAATAATAATAAAATAATAATAATAATAATAATAATAATAATAATAATAATAATAATAATAATAATAATAATGAATCCTGAAACGAATACTGAATAATTATGATTAAGCACAAGATTCAGCTTTATCAAAACACAGCGAGAAGCAATCGCTTACACAGCAAGCAAAACGATAATATGGGTGAACACAGCCCGATAGAATATTTTAGGAACTTATTACAAAAATTAATTTTTCAGGCCGATTATATTCATTGTTAATCTTGATAAAAACAATGTGATATCAATAAGTATCATGATATTTTTGAAGTCTCTGTTATTTCACTATGAAAATAAATTTTGTGGAGAAATTTTTGTGGAGAAAACGGAAACTCGAAATTCGTACTGGCCTAATACAAGGCTTCTAATAAGTTCGAAATCTGAACTCATTAGATGACGGAAAACTTCATATTACCTATCTATCGTTGGGACAATTACAGCTATGGATCAATGTATAAATTTGTGTCCTAACTATCGGTCAGGTGACAGCTTAATAGATTATTAACATCGATGGATTTATTGCCGGTTTCGGCATATTTCGGGTTCAAGGCACATTGTACGAGGCAAGATCTATCACAATTTGAGAATTGCGATGAGAAGCTAAGAAAATATATAGATCTTCTACTAAGCAAACATCAAAATCTGTGCGTCCAGCAGTTCCAAAAATCACAGCTGTAGTTTCTGATGAACGGAAGTGATAAATTTTTCACGTTCTCGACGTATGTTCAAAAATATACAGGGATTCTAAAATTCGAAGGTCAGAAACACCCGTCGTGTAAGCTGGAACTCTAAAATCACTATCGGACATCGGAACATTGCACTGCTCGGCATGAACGTGCACAGCTGAATGAGGAGGATGCGTAAGTAATGTTCCAGTTCTAAAATTTCTACCCTTATGCTCCCCCAGCCTGGTGTAAAAATTGTGAGACGGCATACCGACGTACGCTGATGCGCACTGCGCGCATCTATATCTATATACTAGAGACGAACGCATAAAAAGCGGGAGAGTATCTATATACTTGAAGAACGAGCCGATTTTAAAGTTATTCAGTGCAAGTGGTTTTGGTGAATTCTTGATAAACTTGCGATTTAAGCAATCAAGTGATTTTATTTTAATACTCGTATCCACGAAGTGAAACTCTTTCGGTGGCGCTGTCTCTGAAAATTTATTATTATTGGATGTCGTATATTATTATTGGTGATTATTCTAGATGGTTGACATCTATTATTACCACATTTGGGACTGATGACCCTAATGCTGCCTACAATACCTGGACAAGACCTGAGCTCGCGGGTCTCTGGATAAGTAAATGACTTTCAGGTGCTGGAAGTTGGGCATAACCATGAGCAGCTCGACGTGTGCCAGCGTTAGGCGAATGGTCTGCAAAATAAGAGTAACGGTCGTTGTGAACAATGCAGTGGAGGAGAATGACGTTCATGAAAATGTTATGGAGGAGAAGAAGGCATTTGAAAACCTATTTTAGGTGGAGGGCGTCCATAAGATATAATGGAGGTGTATGACGTATATAAAGTTTAAATGGATGTGGAGGACGTCCATAAAGATTTAATGGGGTTGAAAAGCGTCCATAAACTATTTGAAGTGTTTGGCGTAAAATAGATTAAATGGATGTGGAGGACGTTCATACGTACAAATCTAGTGGAGGTAGGCGGCGTCTAGAACGATTTAAAAAGGTTGAAAGCTTTCATAAAACCAACGGAGGTGTGTGACATTCATAGTAATCTAATTGAGAAGAGCGTTACCAAGAATCGAATGCATAATGGCACTCATAAAAATCTAATGGAGTAGAAGAGGGTCCATAAGAACGAAACGGAGAAGAAGCGTGCCTATGAAAATCTCATGGAGTTGAAATTGGCTTACAAGTTAATTGAGGTAAAAAAATCAAAAAATGTGAAGATAGTGAATGTTTGAAATTTAATTCTTGTTGTGTAAAAAATAGTGATACGCAGTAATTGAAAGCATTGATATTAACGTTTCGTTAACAATAATTTGGTGCACATGAAGGATAAACAGTAATGTACGGATACCGAAGGTAAATTTATGCTGGTAATGATACAACGTAAAAGCATGTCGCAAATCGTAAATTAATGGTAAACCATAATTATTGTTAACAGTTCTTTGAAATAACAATAAACCACCCTATTTACAATATACATTTAGTTCAACAAATATTAATTTCTTGTTTAATTTACAAGCGTTCGTTCTCTTATCGATTTACTGACCTTGGCGATAATAGTTTTGGCTTTGCGACATCTCTCGCTGAGAATATTAGGATCGAAACAATGTGTGCCTTTGCACTCGTCAGGAAATTTTCTGAAATTCTCAGGCCAAACTTTTCTGTATTCACTGAAAGCTTTAGTGAACTGGCACGAAAAAACAATTGACAGGATTTCAGTGACCATCGAAGGCGTCATTCTGCTCTCGTAAACATCGGTGATGATTTTAAGAGGCTCGAAGATGTATATTAATTCTTCGCTGATATTGGAAAGCAGTTCGCCTACCCAGGAGCTTCCTCCTCGTCCCAGAGAGCTGACGAGTAAGATTAGTTCTTGTGAGCCGCTGTAAGACGGGATTTTTACGCTAAATTTATGTCCTTCATTTACAATTGTTTTTCTTTGGTAATTTTGTGTTTCTTGATCATCCACTGCAATATTTTCCCTCTGCAATCGTTCATACTCCATGACTTTTCTCAGTAGCTCATATGTTAGTTTCTTTTCTTGTGTTCTCCCATCTTCTTCTATGAGAATCTCGAAGTCCAGATCGCCACGCAACTTTTCCGTAACAAAACTCCGGCTTCCGATTTGTGGCTCCATCACAGCAGAGCTTTTTATTATATATCGCCAGTCTGAAATAGATGAGAACTTGTTTTATAGTCTTCAAGATCAATGAGCAGGATAGGCCTATAGATTAAGCTAATTGTGATGAGATAATTAGAACGCTTCATTTTCATTTTTTTTGTAATGGAAGAGACACCCAAGAGACCGTTTGTCTTCCACATCGCTTGTTGTGTTACGAAAATCCCATGCCAAACAACATTGGTTTTGTTACAATGCGTGGGAAAACGTGGTTTATATTATTTATTGTTTGTTACTCAGGTGCATTCTAATTGCATATACCACAAATTGCAAGTGATTATATACATACATACGTTATTGCACACATACGTTATAATATCCTACATGCGTTATAGTATCCTGCAAGAGTTATTGCAGAGTCAAAACTCAGAAAACCAATCGCAAAAAAAAGCGAAAAACCGAATATCTTAATTAACCTCTTGTAAGCATCAACAACAATTACTAAAAAAAACGTTAAAAAATTACAAGGGCATGCTGAGTTATATAATGGCGCCATCTTCCATAACAAGATCCAAATACAGTAAAAACATCGATAACAAGAAAAGAAATTGCTTTGATATTACTCAAGAGGCGAAACAAAACTATTATTCAAAAATGAACATTCACTTGTGATTCGTTGTTTATGCATTTGGAATGCATCTGAGTAACAAACAATAAAATAATGTAAACCACGTTTTCGTACGCATAATGAAAAAAATCAGCTTTATTTGCCATGGGATTTTCTAAAAACAACAAACGGGGCGAAAGGCAACCGGTCTCTTGGGTGTCTCATCCTATACAAAGGATTTGTGCTGGCCCTGAAAAAATCAGCAGCTTCACCAGTTTTCAGTTAAAATGGAGAACTTACCTGCGCTGAAGACAAACAGGAAAATGATGAGCATCATTGTGATGCTCAAGACTATATGTGACCATTTGTTTATCATTTCGTCGAAGTTTCTAGCGTCATAAATATATCATAGAAACACTCCCACTAATTAATTTACATATATTTCTATTAAAATTTGAAGAATGAAGTGCTAATGAATTGTACCGAAACTAACGAAACTTTGGAGCTTTACTTTATGGTACATGCTTCACAGAATGCCACAAAAACACTGAATTTTTAACCTCACGTCATCGGACCTGAGCTGCAGGTGTTCAATTAAAAAAATGTCACAGATGTTGTTGAGGAGGGCAATGCACCTTCTGTAGATGTCTTATATATTGATCATTTCTTTAATCAAAAGGCATTGTACGTCCGTGCGATGTTGCCGGATCGACTTTAGTGCGGAATAGTAGCTCCGTAGGATCACTCGATCTGCGTCCATACTGCATGGAAAGGTGTGTAAATACTGTGAACTGTATCATGGATATTTTTTAATATGATTGATATCAGTGTGCTTTATTGTGACCTGGAATATATTAAAGTGTGATGTCAACCTATATAGCTATAGATGTGTAGAAGTCTTTTTATTTTTGATGGAATAGTTTTAGTCATGACCCATTGTGTACGTTTAGTGTCTGCAATAGTTTTATATCATACAGAGAGACCTCCGAAGTCTTGATACGACTTCAAGCCACAAACACTATGTTCATCTTATCGTTGTAGAATGAAAGTTTCGCGTTTGATCGCCTTTATTCTCCTGTCGTTGACTCAGTGTTGAACTGCATGAGGTGTGATGAACCGTGGCTGTCATATTGCTGATAGGATAAAGATTCACGTTGCGTCCAGTTGGTACTGGCCTCCGTAACAATGTAATTTCAATAGATAAGGGAATTGATACACTCTCTTACCGTATAATACGATTCTATCTTCTATTCTGTGCAGCTAAATTATCTCTTATAATATCATTGGCAATAATTAAGTGTATAATGAGAGAATTTTTTTTGGCGAGCTGATTACCAAGATAAATTGGATTAATTTCTTCTGATAGTGTAGATTTTGTTCAGCAAAGACAGATCTAGAGTTGAATTATGAATAATTGAAAAAAATTAATCGAAATTCTTCATTCATTCGGCCGAATATTCGTGAAGAGCCTTCCTTTCAAACAATAATCTGAAGCATATAATCATTACTTATTGCGGTTGGAGAATCAAATTGAGATTCTCTGTTGGCGACCGAAATAGATTCTTAATATGTTTTAGGGCTACATTTTTTGGACAAAACAGCGTTACTTCGTTTTGGAAATAAGTGATAGGAATGCTGCATATTATTGAGAAGAATTTGAAGCAATTTTCACTGCAGGGTTAAGGGCATGTCACTGAGTGAGTGATGCTGCTGGAAGATATGTTGCCTGACTTGTTTCCACAAAACAATTCATCGTAGCTCAACAATTTTGTGATATTATGTGTTGAAAACCAAAATCATTCGTCAATTTTAGAACTGAGCCTTAAGTGATCACAATGCTTCCCTATGTCTAAATTTAAATTCATTTCCGACGGTATGATCTCTTTTGACGTGTTTAACTGCACCCCGCTTAATTTCACTATATAGAGATTAACCCACAGCTTCGAGATTTTCAGCCCAGCAGCCATCAAAACGCCAGCAGCAAAGCCACCACCGGATAACGACCACCTCTCTCAACCGTCTATTGCTTCGTCTACGGATCCTCCCGTATATAATCTTGAACCACAAGATGAAGACCAGGAGCAGCAAGCTCTCCGTCGGTCGACCCCGTCAGTGACATGGCACTCTGTGCAGTCGTGGGCACCCGACGACGCTCAGCAGACTGGACACGTCGCCTGATGACCTCTCTGCGTCGTCGGTGTAACTCTACAGAAGCCTGCTGTAGTTGAGGTGGGTCGCAGTGCACTGAGATGTAGTGTAATGCTTGTCGGCCCTTTACTTTCAGTTTAATAAGTAGTCAGCTAAATCTTGTGATCACCTACGCTTCTGCCATTCGTGAACTTTAGAGGTGAATGTCATGCATTACATAACTCAATCGTTAAATTAAATTTATAGCTTCTAGAACTCTGATTCTAAAACTATTTTTTAATATTAGATCCATCCTATTTACCAAAATCTTGTCTCCAACATGGCAGGCGTTCACTTCTTGGGACGCTTGCCGCGGCATCAGGGTGTACACGAAGCCGCTCGGCTCGAAACTCAAATCTTTGGTTTAATAATTGCTTGAATTTCTGAGCTGTGTGTTTCCTGATGCCCCCACTCGTTTGCGTTTTCAAGGTTATGATTCGAGGATTTCTCATTGTTTTTAAAGTAAACTTGGAGAGACGGTAAATGCCTGATATTATAATGATACATCCGTGTTAATTTAAAACGTGCTCACTTAGGTAAGGTGACTAGAATTCGATTTAAAAAGAAAATAAAAAGATACGGAAAATGGTGAGTTTGAAATTAACTTCATTTTTTTTTTCATCTGACATAATTATTGTGAATTGCATGACATATTAATACGTTGAGATTCGTATTTAGTTTTGTTTCAAAACCTATGATAGGCACATATTGAATTCAAACTTATATTTAAAAAATAGGGCTGTTAAAAGAAATGGATTATTCATGAGATTAAACACAAATCCCTATAGGTTTTAATCAACTTAATATAAAGAATAAATAATTATTTTACGAAAGTATATGAGAAAAATGCTTCATATTTTCCAACAATGTAAACTTTTAATTTTTTAAATAAAAAATTTTTTGCTAAAACTTGCCTAAATACGTATGACTAAATTTAACTGAAACTGATCATCAGTATTATAAATGGGACTAGTCAACGAACATATAAACAAGATTTATCACTCTAAAAAGTTCAATGGGCTATAAAATAATCATGATTTGCTTTTTTCTAACTTTTCCACCAATAATGCAACAATTTTTATCAGAAATATAATAAAGTTCAATAATATCAACGATAAATGTTCATTTGTACAATTAGCTGCGAATACATTGCTTTCTTGTTGCCTTCATTGATCGTCTTTGGATTTGATATCTAAGCTAATTAAAAACATCGGGTGTGAGTGAATTATTTTTAGTTGGTAATTGTACGATTAGTTAAATCGAATAGAATAGAAGTGTCGGCACTGATGAAAAAGGCCCATGACCTGTTGCCGATTCTTGTATTTTTCGTGACTTGATTCCATAAGGGATCCGGCCTTCTGAACCCGATCTTTCCATAACTGCATGACGATTGTATGAGATAGCTGCTGGACTTATTGCAAGGCTCGTAAGGTGCAAAGCATTTCAAGACTGAACATATGCTCCTGCATAGCTTCATCTAGTCTGTTCTTGAAGGCGTTCATACTCGGAGCGTCAACGATGCTATCAGGGAGGCTGTTCCACATGTCGGTGACTCGAAGCGAGAATCTACGGATCCTCCCGTATTATTGCTTCGTCTACGGATCCTCCCGTATGATTGCTTCGTCTACGGATCCTCCCGTATTATTGCTTCATCTACGGATCCTGCCGTATGATTGCTTCGTCTACGGATCCTCCTGTATTATTGCTTCGCCTAAGGATCCTCCCGTATTATTGCTTCGTCTACGGATCTTCCCGTATTATTTCTTCGTCTACGGATCCTCCCGTATGATTGCTTCGCCTGCGGATCCTCCCGTATTTTTTCTTCGTCTACGGATCCTCCCGTATGATTGCTTCGTCTACGGATCCTCCCGTATTATTTCTTCGTCTACGGTTCTTCCCGCATGATTGCTTCGTCCACGGAACCTCCCGTATTATTGCTTCGTCTACGGATCCTCCCGTATTATTGCTTCGTCTACGGATCCTCTCGTATTATTGCTTCGTCTACGGATCCTCCCGTATTATTGCTTCGTCCACGAATCATCCCGTATTATTTCTCCGTCTACGGATCCTCCCGTATGATTGTTTCGTCTACGGATCCTCCCGTATGATTGCTTCGTCTACGGATCCTCCCGTATTTGCCAATCTTGGACCACAAGATGAAGACCAGGAGCAGCAAGCTCTCCTTCGGTCGACCCCGTCAGTGACATGGCACTCTGTGCAGTCGTGGGCACCCGACGACGCTCAGCAGACTGGAGACGTCGCCTGATGACCTCTCTGCGTCGTCAGTGGAACTCTACAGAAGCCTGCTGTAGGAGAGGTGGACCGCTGTGCACTGGACGCTCAGCAGACTGGACACGTCGCCTGATGACCTCTCTGCGTCGTCGGTGGAACTCTACAGAAGCCTGCTGTAGTAGAGGTGGGTCGCAGTGCACTGGACGCTCAGCAGACTGGATACGTCGCCTGATGACCTCTCTGCGTCGTCGGTGGAACTCTACAGAAGCCTGCTGTAGTTGAGGTGGGTCGCAGTGCACTGAGATGGAGTGTAATGCTTGTCTGCCCTTTACTTTCAGTTTAATAAGTAGACAGATATATCTTGTGATCACCTACGCTTCTTCCATTCGTGAACTTTAGAGGTGAATGTCATGCATTACATAACTCAATCATTAAATTAAATTTATAGCTTCTAGAACTCTGATTCTAACACTATTTTGAATATTAGATCCATCCCATTTACCAAAATCTTGTCTCCAACATGGCAGGCGTTCACTTCTTGGGACGTTTGCCGCGGCATCAGGATGTACACGAAGCCGCTCGGCTCGAAACTCAAATCTTTGGTTTAATAATTGCTTGAATTTCTGAGCTGTGTGTTTCCTGATGCCCCACTCGTTTGTGTTTGCAAGATTATGATTCGAGGATTTCTTATTGTTTTTAAAGTAAACTTGGTGAGACGGTATATGCCTGATATTATAATTATATGTACATCCGTGTTAATTTAAAACGTGCTCACTAAGGTAAGATGATTAGAATTCGATTTAAAAAGAAAATAAAAAGATACGGAAAATGGTGAGTGTCAAATTAACTTCATTTTTTTTCAGCTGACATAATTATTGTGAATTGCATGACATATTAATACGTTGAGGTTGTATTTAGTTTTGTTTCAAAACCTATGATAGGCACATATTGAATTCAAACTTATATTAAAAAAATAGGGTTGTTAAAAGAAATGGATTATTCATGAGGTTAAACACAAATCCCTATAGGTTTTAATTAGCTTAATATAGAGAATAAATCATTATTTTACGAAAGTATATGAGAAAAATACTTCATATTTTTCAACATTGTAAACTTTTAATTTTTTATATCAAAAATTTTTTGCTAAAACTTGCCCAAATATGACTAAATTTAACTGAAACTGATCATCAGTATTATAAATGGGACTAGTCAACGAACATATAAACAAGATTTATCACTCTAAAAAGTTTAATGGGCTATAAAATAATCATGATTTGCTTTCTTCTAATTTTTCCACCAATAATGCAACAATTTTTATCATAAATCATAATAAAGTTCAATAATATCAACGATAAATGTTCATTTGTACAATTAGCTGCGAATACATTGCTTTCTTGTTGCCTTCATTGATCGTCTTTGGATTTGATATCTAAGCTAATTAAAAACATCGGGTGTGAGTGAATTATTTTTAGTTGATAATTGTACGATTAGTTAAATCGAAAAGAATAGAATTGTCGGCACTGATGAAAGAGGCCCATGACCTGTTGCCGATTCTTGTATTTTTTGTGACTTGATTCCACAAGGGATCCGGCCTTCTGAACCCGATCTTTCCATAACTGACGATTGATTGAGATAGCTGCTGGACTTATTGCCTGGTCCGTAAGGTGCTAAGCTTTTCAAGACTGAACATATGCTCCTGCATAGCTTCGTCTAGTCTGTTCTTGAAGGCGTTCATACTCGGAGCGTCAACGATACTATCAGGGAGGCTGTTCCACATGTCGGTGACTCGAAGCGAGAAGAAATGTTGTTGCATGGATGTGTTACAACGCAGTGTTTTTAGTTTATATAGCCGTAGCCCCCGGTGTGGTTCTTGTTTCAAATTCCAGTAATCCTTCTGGGACCTTGTATAAACCGTGGGTATACTTGTATGCTTCAATGAGGTCACCACGCAGACGTCAATAACGGAGGCTTGGAAGCTTCGTAATCTTTAATCTTTCCTCATTAGGCTTGCCTTTTAATCCCGGAATTATCCTTGTTGCAAGTCTTTGAACACTCTCGACTAAATTTTTGTCTAATGATCTAGATAAAAATGTAATATATAATTAAAATTAAATACCTCATTAAATGGACGGAGATTGATGTATTTTAAAATTCATTTATGTTTATCAGTTTTTTCAGTTTTATGATATTCGCGAAGACATTATATACAATAACGTGCATGTACGTGAGACTTCAAAGAATATTTCATGTTGATTTCAGATAATATAACTATCACAACATCAAATAAGGAATTAAATTTACTTACTGAAACGAATAATAATAATAATGAATGCTGAATAATTATTAATAAGCATTAGGTTCAGCTCCATCATACCACAGCATGAAGCAATCGCTTACACAGCAAGCAAACAATAATCAGGGTGAACACAGCCCGATAGAATATTTTAGGAACTTCATACACAAATTAATATTTCGAGTAGATTATTTTCATTGTTAATCTCGATAAAAAACAATGTTATATCAATAGATATCATGAGATTTTCGAAGTCTTTTTTATAAAATTATGAAAATAGATTTTGTGGAGTTCGAACGGAAACTCGAAATTCGTTCTGGCCTAATAAGGTTACTAATAAGTTCGAAATTCGACTTATTAGATGACGGAAAACCTCGTATTATCTTTAATAGGACAAATACAGCTATGGATCAATGTATGAAGTTGCTGCCTAACTTTCGGTCAGGTGACAGCTTAATAGATTATTGACATCGATGAATTTATTGCCGGTTTTGGCATATTTCGGGTTCAAGGCACATTGTACGAGGCAAGATCTATCACAATTTGAGAGTTGCGATGGGAAGCTAAGAAAATATATAGATCTTCTACCAAGCAAACATCAAAATCTGTGCGTCCAGCAGTTCCAAAAATCACAGCTGTAGTTTCTGATGAACGGAAGTGATAAATTTTTCACGTTCTCGACGTTCATCAGTGGAATGTAGCCGAGACGGTCCATGGCGGTTGAGCAAACTTCTTCGACGTTCAGGAGGCTCTCCAGCGTGATGTTCTTTTCCTCCCGCCATTTATACCATTGAGTGCTGGAGTTTCTGTATGTGCTGTATTGAAACCTTTTAATTTGCCCTTCCACCGCAGTTTTTGTTTGGTCGTGAGACGTCAGGAAATCTTGCCACTCTTCCGGCATAGTCGCGTTGTGCTCCGTCCGAATAAACTTCCAGAGCTGCAATGCCTCCACTGCCCAGAAGAGAGCAGAATAAACTATTGTAAAAAAATATTGTACAAATAAACTATTAACGAAATAAACTATTTCATTTCTTCTCTAATTTGTGCCTATTATAAATGCTTCCATAACTCCAAACCTGGATCTGATTATAATAAAATCTCTGAAATTGAGAGAAGTTTGAAACAAGGTTGAAAAAATGCGACTCTGGCACCAAATTTCAAGGCTACATTCAATATGCTGAATAAATATTATCTCATATTTATATTATGTCGATTATATATATTTCCTGGCATTCCCTTAATTTACAACCATTATATACCAACAAGCATGTTATATTTCTAGAAATTCTTTTGTAACTCATTCTGTATCGCAGTCTTCTCCTTTTAGGTTAATATTAGAAATTTATGTAGGAAACAACAGACTGAATTTAATACATATGTTTTTTTCTTTGAAATCTTATCCTAGAATCTTGGTGGAACGCAGAACTTCTTTTGAAACTTCCTTAGACCATTAATTTACCAACTAAATCATTGAACTAATTTACCGACTAATACGAGAATGTCTGCGTAGGATTAATTGTTTTTAAATAAAGTTAATTGAAGAAAACGAAATAATTTTTCATTCTTATGCAAGCTTTTTACACATTTCAACTGCATGGATTTACAAAATTCACCTAGAGGCTGCTGGCAAAAATCTTCGTATCTCATGAAATAGAATTGTCCAGGGAACAGCTGTGACAATCTGCGGAAGGCGTACACATCTGCCTCAACTTTGACGCACTCTTCGGTGAATTCGCTCTTGTGGATGTGGAACACTTCGTCCCTGGAATGCGGGTTTATAGATTAATTAATCAGCGAACAACGTTAATTAATTGATGATCAACGAACGTTAATGTAGAGCCAATGATTGGATAAAATAAATGTTTTTTATTGCAGCTTCTACTTCTGCGATAACTGTGAATTTTGACTTGCTATATACTAACGAAGCGTAATTTAGACACGAGTTTATTAATTAATTACTTAATTAATTAATTATAAAGTACACCATTTATTCATTTTAATTTTTTCTCCTTTCATTGATCTGGATTAGCAACGAGTAATACCGATCGTATGCAATATTTTGCCCGCGAAACAGATGCGGTGCAAATTTCAGTGAGAAGTGAGAAACCTACAATTCATAAACCAATAACAAAAAACGCAGGTCACTATAGCCTTGATCGCGCCAATTTCCATATACGTATCCACTAATTAAAAAAAAGCAGCTAAAAAATTCATCAAAAAATTCACCATTTCTTAAGAATGAAAACGTTACGGCGTCAAGCTCCATCGTCAGTTCAAAACCTATAAGACAAGCAGAATCAATTAGCAAACGAAAATTCACATTAAAGATAAAAACCAAACTTGACAAAAAAGAAAAATATATAACTCAGTACTCACTGCAGTGAGTGACGGAGAGCGCATTTTCTCGTCGACGAAAACGTGAAGTCACGGACGGACAGACATACAGACGGACAGACGGACGGAAGGACATGACAAGCAAAATAACGCCTTTTCCATAAATGAGAAAATGCGCTAAAAACGCATGAGGTGACAGGCCAATCTATTTACAACTTCAGGGAGATAGGAGCTGAAGGCTGCATTTAAACTAGGTTTCTGTTAAAAAATATACAATGATTAAAAAATTGTCAATGATTCAAAAAAATATACAATGATTCAAAAGAGCCAATTTTAAAATTATTCACCAGCACCACCTGCACTTGAATGGCTTTAAAATCGGCTCGTTCTTCATGTATAAAGATACTCTCCCGCTTTTTATGCGTTCGTCCCTAGTATATAGATACAGTTGTGCGCAGTGCGCATCAGCGTACGTCGATATGACTTCTCACAATTTTTACACTAGGCTGGCGGAGCATAAGGGCAGAAGTTTTAGAACGGGAACATTACTGACGCATCCTCCTCATTCAGCTGTGCGCGTCTATGCCGAGCAGTGCAATGTTCCGGTGTCTGATAGTGATTTTAGAGTTCTAGTTTTCACGACCGGTGTTTCTGACCTCCGAATTTTAGAATCCCTGTATATTTTTAAACAGAAACATTTCTTAAGAATGAAATGTTACGGCGTCAAGCTCCATCGTCAGTTCAAAACCTAGCAGAATCAATTAGATAAAGAAAATTCACATTTAAGATAAAAATCTAAGTTGACAAAAGAAAAAAAAAACATGAGGTGACAGGCCTAGCTATTCACAATTTCAAGGGGATAGGAGCTGAAGACTGCATTTAAACCAAGTTTTTGTTCAAAAATATACAGGGATTCTAAAATTCGAAGGTCAGAAACACCCGTCGTGTAAGCTGGAACTCTAAAATCACTATCGGACATCGGAACATTGCACTGCTCGGCATGAACGTGCACAGCTGAATGAGGAGGATGCGTAAGTAATGTTCCAGTTCTAAAATTTCTACCCTTATGCTCCCCCAGCCTGGTGTAAAAATTGTGAGACGGCATACCGACGTACGCTGATGCGCACTGCGCGCATCTATATCTATATACTAGAGACGAACGCATAAAAAGCGGGAGAGTATCTATATACTTGAAGAACGAGCCGATTTTAAAGTTATTCAGTGCAAGTGGTGTTGGTGAATTCTTGATAAACTTGCGATTTAGCAATCAAGAGATTTTATTTTAATACTCGTATCCACGAAGTGAAACTCTTTCGGTGGCGCTGTCTCTGAAAATTTATTATTATTGGATGTCGTATATTATTATTGGTGATTATTCTAGATGGTTGACATCTATTATTACCACATTTGGGACTGATGACCCTAATGCTGCCTACAATACCTGGACAAGACCTGAGCTCGCGGGTCTCTGGATAAGTAAATGACTTTCAGGTGCTGGAAGTTGGGCATAACCATGAGCAGCTCGACGTGTGCCAGCGTTAGGCGAATGGTCTGCAAAATAAGAGTAACGGTCGTTGTGAACAATGCAGTGGAGGAGAATGACGTTCATGAAAATGTTATGGAGGAGAAGAAGGCATTTGAAAACCTATTTTAGGTGGAGGGCGTCCATAAGATATAATGGAGGTGTATGACGTATATAAAGTTTAAATGGATGTGGAGGACGTCCATAAAGATTTAATGGGGTTGAAAAGCGTCCATAAACTATTTGAAGTGTTTGGCGTAAAATAGATTAAATGGATGTGGAGGACGTTCATACGTACAAATCTAGTGGAGGTAGGCGGCGTCTAGAACGATTTAAAAAGGTTGAAAGCTTTCATAAAACCAACGGAGGTGTGTGACATTCATAGTAATCTAATTGAGAAGAGCGTTACCAAGAATCGAATGCATAATGGCACTCATAAAAATCTAATGGAGTAGAAGAGGGTATATAAGAACGAAACGGAGAAGAAGCGTGCCTATGAAAATCTCCTGGAGTTGAAATTCTGTCTCTTATACACATCTAGATGTGTATAAGAGACAGGCTCTCCAGCGTGATGTTCTTTTCCTCTCGCCATTTATACCATTGAGTGCTGGAGTTTCTGTATGTGCTGTATTGAAACCTTTTAATTTGCCCTTCCACCGCAGTTTTTGTTTGGTCGTGAGACGTCAGGAAATCCTGCCATTCTTCCGGCATAGTCGCGTTGTGATCCGTCCGAATAAACTTCCAGAGCTGCAATGCCTCCTCTGCCCGAAAGAGGGCAAAATAAACTATTGTAAAAAAATAATGTACAAATAAACTATTAACAAAATAAACTTTTTTATTTCTTCTCTAATTTGTGCCTATTTTAAATGCTTCCAAAAATTCAAACCTGGATCTGATTATAATAAAATCTCGGAAATAGAGAGAAGTTTGAAACAAGGTTGAAAAAATGCGACTCTGGCACCAAATTTCAAGGCTACATTGAATATGCAGAATAAATATCATCTTATATTTATATTATATAGATTATATATATTTCCTGGCATTCCTATAATTTACAACCATTCTATACCAACAAGCATGATATATTTCTAGAAATTCTTCTGAAAGTCATTCTGTATCGCAGTCTTCTCCTTCTAGGTTAATATTAGAAATTTATGTAGGAAACAGCAGACTGAATTTAATACATATGTTTTTTTTAAATCCTATCCTAGAATCTTGGTGGAACGCAGAAATAGTTTTGAAACTTCCTTAAACCATTAATTTATCATTAACTAAATCATTGAACTAATTTACCAACTAATACGAGAATGTTTGCGTAGGATTAATTGTTTTTAAATAGAGTTAAGTGAAGTAGACGAAATAATTTTTCGTTCATTATGCAAGCTTTTTACACATTTCAACTGAATGGATTTACAAAATTCACCTAAGGGATGCTGGCAAAAGTCTTCGTATCTCATGAAATAGAATTGTCCAGGGAACAGCTGTGACAATCTGCGGAAGGCGAACACATCTGCCTCAACTTTGACGCACTCTTCGGTGAATTCGCTCTTGTGGATGTGGAACACTTCGTCCCTGGAATGCGGATGAATAGATTAATTAATCAGCGAACAACGTTAATTAATTGATGATCAACGAACGTTAATGTAGAGCCAATGATTGGATAAAATAAATGTTTTTTATTGCAGCTCCTACTTCTGCGATAACTGTGAATTTTGACTTGCTATATACTAACGAAACGTAATTTAGACACGAGTTTATTAATTAATTACTTATTTAATTAAATATAAAGTACACTATTTATTCATTTTAATTTCCCTCCTTTCATTGAACTGGATTAGCAATGCGTAATACCGATCGTATGCAATATTTTGCCTGCGAAACAGATGCGGTGCAAATTTCAGTGAGAAGTGAGAAACCTACAATTGATAAACCAATAACAAAAAACGCAGGTCACTATAGCCTCGATCGCGCCAATTTCCATATACGTATCCACTAATTAAAAAAACAGCTAAAAAATTCATCATTTCTTAAGAATGAAATGTTACGGCGTCAAGCTCTATAGTCAGTTCAAAACCTAGCAGAATCAATTAGATAAAGAAAATTCACATTGAAGATAAAAACCTAAGTTGACTAAAGAAAAAAAAACACATGAGGTGACAGGCCTATCTATTCACAATTTCAAGAGGATAGGAGCTGAAGACTGCATTTAAACCAAGTTTCTGTTCAAAAATATACAGGGATTCTAAAATTCGAAGGTCAGAAACACCCGTCGTGTAAGCTGGAACTCTAAAATCACTATCGGACATCGGAACATTGCACTGCTCGGCATGAACGCGCACAGCTGAATGAGGAGGATGCGCAAGTAATGTTCCCGTTCTAAAATTTCTACCCTTATGCTCTGCCAGCCTGGTGTGAAAATTGTGAGACGGCATACCGACGTACGCTGATGCGCACTGCGCGCACCTATATCTATATACTAGAGACGAACGCATAAAAAGCGGGAGAGTATCTATATACTTGAAGAACGAGCCGATTTTAAAGTTATTCAGTGCAAGTGGTGTTGGTGATTCTTGATAAACTTGCGATTTAAGTAATCAAGAGATTTTATTTTAATACTCGTATCCACGAAGTGAAACTCTTTCGGTGGCATTGTCCATGAAAATTTATTATTATTGGATATCGTATATTATTATTGGTGATAATTCTAGATGGTTGACATCTATTATTACCACATTTGAGACTGATGACCCTGATGCTGCCTACAATACCTGGACAAGACCTGAGCTCGCGGGTCTCGGGACAAGTAAATGACTTTCAGGTGCTGGAAGTTGGGCATAACCATGAGCAGCTCGACGTGTGCCAGCGTTAGGCGAATGGTCTGCAAAATAAGAGTAACTCCAGCGTGATGTTCTTTTCCTCCCGCCATTTATACCATTGAGTGCTGGAGTTTCTGTATGTGCTGTATTGAAACCTTTTAATTTGCCCTTCCACCACAGTTTTTGTTTGGTCGTGAGACGTCAGGAAATCTTGCCACTCTTCCGGCATAGTCGCGTTGTGATCCGTCCGAATAAACTTCCAGAGCTGCAATGCCTCCTCTGCCCGAAAGAAAGCAAAGTGAACTATTGTAAAAATATTGTACAAATAAACTATTACCGAAATAAACTATTTTATTTCCTCTCTAATTTGTGCCTATTATAAATGCTTCCAAAAATCCAAACCTGGATCTGATTATAATAAGGCTACATTGAATATGCAGAATAAATATCATCTTATATTTATATTATATAGATTATATGTATTTCCTGGTATTTCCTTAATTTACAACCATTTTATACCAACAAGCATGATATTTTTCTAGAAATTCTTTTGTAGCTCATTCTGTATCGCAGTCTGCTCCTTTTTGGTTACTATTAGAAATTTATGTAGGAAACAAACAACAGACTGAATTTAATACATATGTTTTTTTTTCTTTGAAATCTTATCCTAGAATCTTGGTGGAACGCAAAACTAGTTTTGAAACTTCCTTAGACCCTTAATTTATCAAATAGCTGAATCATTGAACTAATTAACTAATACGAGAATGTTTGCGTAGGATTAATTGCTTTTAAATAAAGTTAATTGAAGTAGACGAAATAATTTTTCATTCATTATGTAACCTTTTTACACATTTCAACTGAATGGATTTACAAAATTCACCTAAAGGCTGCTGGCAAAAATCTTCGTATCTCATGAAATAGAATTGTCCAGGGAACAGCTGTGACAATCTGCGGAAGGCGAACACATCTGCCTCAACTTTGACGCACTCTTCGGTGAATTCGCTCTTGTGGATGTGGAACACTTCGTCCCTGGAATGCGGAATTATAGATAAATTAATCAGGGAACAACGTTAAATTAATTGATGATCAACGAACGTTAATGTGGAGCAAATGATCAGATAAAATAAATGTTTTTTTATTGCAGCTCCTACTTCTGCGATGACTGTGAATTTTGACTACTAATGAAACGTAATTCAGACAGGAGTTTATTAAAAAAATTAAAGTACACTATTTATTTATTTTAATTATCCTCCTTTTTTGGTTAACATTGAACTGGATTAGCAACGAGCAATACCAGTCGTATGCTATATTTGCTCACCGCGAAACTGTAACAATAAATGCCACCAAAGAAAAGCAGACGTGGTATAAATTTCAGTGAGAAGTGAGAAACCTACAATTCATAAACAATAACAACAAAAGCAGGTCACTATAGCCTCGATCGCGCCAATTTCCATCTGCGTATCCACTAATCTAAGAGCATAGAAAACAGCCGTAAAATTCACCATTTCTTAAGAATGAAAACGTTACGGCGTCAAGCTCCATCGTCAGTTTAAAACTTATGAGACAAGCAGAATCACGTAGAAAACGAAAATTCAAATTGAAGATAAAAGCCAAAACTGACAAAAAATATAACTCAGTAGGTTAACACGGGGCAGCGAGCCCACTGCGGGTCATGGACCCATAGCGGGTTTCTCGCTAAGTATGGCAGATATTGGTCCGTGTTCTCTACCGCCGGTCGACAGTTTCACTGGGATGAAGTGTACGGATTTACGTTTTGCTAAATGTTTGCGTTATTAAGTTATTTGTGAATAATTGTTTTAGCCGAGATAAAATTTTTTTGCAGCTAAATAAAACTGTTTTCGATTACTGTAGAAGTGTATATGAAGCTTTTGAAATTACTGTGAATTATATGTTAAAAGTAATATTTACAGAGATAATTTTGAGGTCAAGTTCAGACTATTAGCTTTTAAAATAAAATGTTGACACGATATACGTAAATTGAAATGATACCTAGTGGGCAACGGGCCCATGCGTGTCGCGTGGCAAAGCGCCCATGATGAAGTCTTGTGTTATACATCATTAGATTTGTCTCAATGACCTTTTCAAAACTATGACTAGCTTTTTGAATTACAAATTACACTTCATATTGCATGATTTTTTATTTTTTGATTTGCCGCCTCAAGGCAGCAGGTTTAGTTTCTAGTTATGCGTATATATGACCCCTTATCGAATTATTGACTCTTGCCTTGCCAAAAGTTGATTTCAGTCAACACCAATGAGCCAAAAGTTAATGAGTTTTTATGCTGTTGGCTGAAATCACGACTAGGTACGAATTCTCTGCACATAATATCTGGATTATGAACGAAACTGGAACGAAGTTTTTTTCTGATAAACTAAATAAAATTTTCTAGTCAAGGATACATTTTTCATGTCAAGGACGAATTTTTCATCGCAAGGATATATTTTTCAAGACAAGGATTAATATTTTTATCTCAATGAAATATTTTTCTTCACGTCAGTGATAGATTTTTTACGCCAAGAGTATATTTTTTCAAGTTAAGGATATGATTTTTTGAGTTGTTAATAAATGAGTGAATGCCATATTTTTTATTACATTTATCTTATTTTTAATAGTAAAGTGTTGGTGTATCATTTTTGAACGGAAAATATACAATTGTGGTAAAGGGACCACGGGCCAAAGGGCCCATTGCCCCAGGGGTGGGGCAAAAGGCCCATTTTGACACTTTTCACAAAATAGTGTTTCATTAAAAATTGAATAACTATATAGGCGTCTAATACACATCATACATTCCTTATTAGTTTTACCTTTAAACAAAACAAAGAACCACCTTGTATCAATTAAAACTTCATCAAAAATTTAGTTTAAAAAAGGGGGAGGGGTTCGCTGCCCCATGTTGCCCTACTCAATGCAGTGAGTGACAGAGAGCGGATTTACCGTCGACGAAAACGTGAAGTCACGGACGGACAGACAGACAGATAGACAGACGGACGGACGGACATGGCGAGCAAAATAGCGCCTTTTTTCCATAAATGAAAAAATGCGCTAAAAACGCGTAAGGTGACAGGCCAATCTATTTACAACTTCAAGGTGATAGGAGCTGAGGGCTGCATTTAAACTAGGTTTCTGCTAAAAAATATACAGTGATTCAAAAAATGTGAAGGTCGGAAACAGCGGTCGTGAAAACTAGAACTCTAAAATCACTATCGGACATCGGAACATTGCACTGCTCGGCATGAACGCGCACAGCTGAATGAGGAGAATGCGCCAGTAATGTTCCCGTTCTAAAACTTCTGCCCTTATGCTCCGCCAGCCTAGTGTAAAAACTGTGAGACGTCATACCGACGTGCGCTGCTGTGCACTGCGCACAACTGTATCTATATACTAGGGTCGGACTCATAGAAAGCGGGATAGTATTTTTATACTTGAAGAACGAGCCGATTTTAAAGTTAATCAGGTGCACGTGGTGTTGGTGAATAACTTTAAAATTGGCTCTTTCTTCAAGTATAATGGTACTCTCCCGCTTATGCGTTCGTCCGTGGTATATAGATACAGTTGTGTGCAGTGCGCATCAGCGCACGTCGGTATGACGTCTCACAATTTTTACACTAGGCTGGCGGAGCATAAGGGCAGAAGTTTTAGAACGGGAATATTACTGGCGCATCCTCTTCATTCAGCTGTGCGCGTTCATGCCGAGCAGTGCAATGTTCCGATGTCCGATAGTGATTTTAGAGTTCTAGTTTTCACGTCCGGTGTTTCTGACCAACAAATTTTAGAATCCCTGTATGTTTTTAACCAGAAACCTAGGTTAAATGCAGCCTTCAGCTCCTATTCGTTTGAAATTGTAAACAGAAAGGCCTGTCACCTTGTGTGTTTTTTTCTTTTGTCAATTTAGGTTTTATCTTTAATGTGAATTTTCGTTTTCTAATTGATTCTGCTTGTCTTATAGGTTTTGAACTGACGATGGAGCTTGACGCCGTAACGTTTTCATTCCTAAGAAAAGGTGAATCGTATATCGTATATTATTATTGGTGATAATTATAGATAGTTATCATCTATTATTACAACATTCGAGACTCTGCATGATGACCCTGATGCTGCCTACAATACCTGGACAAGACTTGAGCTCGCGGGTCTCTGGACAAGTAAATGACTTTCAGGTGCTGGAAGTTGGGCATAACCATGAGCTGCTCGACGTGTGCCAGCGTTAGGCGAATGGTCTGCAAAATAAGAGTAACGGTCGTTGTGAACAATGCAGTGGAGGTGGATGACGTTCATGAAAATGTTATGGAGGAGAAGAAGGCTTTTGAAAACCTATTTTAGGTGAAGGGCGTTCATAAAATGCAACGGGGAAAAATTAGGCTTCTAAAAACCTATTTCAAGTGGAGGTACTTCATAAAGATATAATAGAGGTGTATGGCGTACATAAAGATTTAATGGATGTGGAGGGCGTTCATAAAAACCTAGTGGAGGTAGTCTAGAAAGATTTAAAAAGGTTGAAAGCTTTCATAAAACCAACGGAGGTGTGTGACATTCATAGGAATCCAATTGAGAAGAGCGTTAAGAAGAATCTAATGCATTATGGCACTCATTAAAATCTAATGGAGTAGAAGAGGGTCCATAAGAACGAAACGGAGAAGAAGCGTGCCTATGAAAATCTCATGGAGGTGAAATTGGCTTACAAGTTAATATAGGTAAAAAAATGAAAAAATGTGAAGCTGGTGAATGTTTGAAATTTAATTCCTGTTGTGTAAAAAAAGCCGATACGCAGTAACTGAAAGCATTGATACTGACATTTCGTTAACAATAATTTGATGAACATGAAAGGTAAACAGTGATGTATGGATAACGAAAGCAAATTTATGCTTGTAATGACACAATGTAAGAACACATCGCAAATAGTACATTGACGCTGAATAATAATTAGTGTTCACAGTTCCTAGAAATAACTAGAGACCACTCCGTTTACAATATACACTTAGGTCAATAACTATTCATTTATTGTAATTTACAAGCGTTCGTTCTCTTATCGACTTACTTACCTTTGCGACAATAGTTTTGGCTTTGCGACATCTCTCGCTGAGAATATTGGGATCGAAACAATGTGTGCCTTTGCACTCGTCAGGAAATTTTCTGAAATTTCAGTTCGCCTACCCAGGAGCTTCCTCCTCGTCCCAGAGAGCTGACGAGTAAGATTAGTTCTTGTGAGCCGCTGTAAGACGGGATTTTTACGCTAAATTTATGTCCTTCATTTACAATTGTTTTTCTTTGGTAATTTTGTGTTTCTTGATCATCCACTGCAATATTTTCCCTCTGCAATCGTTCATACTCCATGACTTTTCTCAGTAGCTCATATGTTAGTTTCTTTTCTTGTGTTCTCCCATCTTCTTCTATGAGAATCTCGAAGTCCAGATCGCCACGCAACTTTTCCGTAACAAAACTCCGGCTTCCGATTTGTGGCTCCATCACAGGAGAGCTTTTTATTATATATCGCCAGTCTGAAATAGATAAGAACTTGTTTTATAGTCTTCAAAATAAGTGGGAAGGTTATAGATAAAGCTAATTGTAATGAGATTATTACCGAGTTTCATTAGAAACGAAAAAAATCACTTAAAGGAACTGCAAGTTTAGGTTTCCATAGATAAGATATTTTCAACTATTTAAATGATATATAGCTACGAAATATTTTTAAATTCTTTTTTCAAAGTAACAAACGAAAGACTAAATTTTTCAGTAGGCTGACTGATCAATAAGAGGCTAACGTAAAAAATTTGTTATAAAATATAAACATATTACTTAGCTGATGTATAATTGGTGGTATAAATATAATACCAGCTGATATAGATAGGCTGTCCTAAAAATTTAGCCTACAAATGTAAACTTACCAACAGTGAGGACAAACAGGAAAAGGATGAACATCATCCCGACGTTAAGGATTATGATTAAACTCTTCTTCATCATTTTGTCGTATTATCTATTGTCATAAATTCACCATAGGAACAATATTTTCAACTTTTCTTTTTAGCAAGCTCATTGATCACAAATAAAGGAACGAAGTCGATATTAAAATTAAAACGAAATGTGACTCACCACATAACTGAAAAACAAAGAAATCAGTACAAACCATAAAGCAATATAGATTCAGCGTGGAAAAAATACAATCACAATTTATTGCCAAGATAATACGAACCAAATTCCTTACTTTAAGAATCCATGACAAATTCATAGGGTAATTAGAAATGACCTCTAAGATTCAAATGAAAATTTTAACGACTGAAACCAGGCATTATTATTTTTAGATTAAAATGAATTATTTATCCAGGTCTTCAAGCTCACCTAAGCGTATTGAATTCTTATAGCAGACGAAAATAATTCATTTCCGAATAATTGAGTAGAATTTCAGAAGTAGGCTGTAAATTATGTTGAATAAAGAAACAGGTGTGTTCTTTAATTTCCCTGGGCGGCGTTTCAAACATTTCAATGTTGTCTTATAGAAATGAACATATAAACAACCATAATTTTTATGTATAGATTATTCCTGTACTCCTATCATATGTATTTGTTTGCGGTATGTTCTGAATAAATGATTTTTAAGAGTAATTTCGTAATACTAAGCGTAAATAACTTGCATGGGAAAATTTCAAACGTCACTAAATCAGTCTAACATTCCATCCATGTTATTTTACAACACTTCTCTCTAACTTCACTTCTTGTTGTTTGTTTGTCTGCTTGCTACAAATCTCATAATCGATATTTAACACACTTCTACCTGTCCAATCGATCTAAAATTTTGCACACTCGCGTGAAGTCAGAGAAAATGCATGAATCAATCGACAAAATGAATAATTTTGGAAAATTATTTTTTTGATATTAAAAAAATTAAAGAATATTTTTTTTAATAAGATAAAAAGAAAATAAGAAATTCATTGTACATGTGTAACATCGGAGACACTAGCCTCTTTAGAAGTGCTGTTTTTAAAAGTAATTTTTAAACGCTTATTATTTAATGTAAGTTGAGTTACTGCCTCCTATTACCCTATGCATATAATATGGCTTTTACAAATAATAATCTCGGGTATGATTTTATATGTAGCATACACTTAAAATATGCAAAATACTTATGATAATATTTTTATACTATTCATCGGCTTTTTCTTATTTTCTAGGTTTTCGAAATGTTTAAAAATATTATTGACCTACAAAATTTGCTTAAAAGAACTTTACATATATGCGATTATTCCACTGTAATTGCACCAGAAAACTATAATTAAATCTTGCTAATTTATTCCAAGTGATTAATCGAGATTGTTCAGCGCTCTAGTGGAAATGATTATAAATGTTTTGCTTTAATGATGAATGCTCAGTAAGTTGACGAGTCAATAAACATTGGCGATTCTTATACCTGCAGGATTTCGATTATGATTTCACAGTAATTAATGATCATCTAACTTCATCAACCCGTTGAGGACTAAAAGTCATAAAATTATTCACAAAAATTTTGTATTGTTTTAAAAGTTTCCGTTGATTTTATTCGCACCCAACAGAAAGCATTAAATAAAAACTTTATGTTTCAAACAAAGTATATTTTTAGGAAAATTGAATCAATTCACTGAATAAGTTTTTTACGTATTGAATACGTAAAATATGTAATCTTCGCTGGTTGTAAAAAAATGATCACAAAATTTTCGGGAAATTTTGCTTTAATGTCTGAAATGTATTTGACATGTGGCAGGTTTTAACAAATGACATTGTTCATAATGCACGCAAATAATGTAAGTTTAGTAACGCCTTAATTACTAAAATAATAGCTGTGATTCTAGCAATGACTTGTAAGGAATTAATCTTAAACGATTTAACTTGAACGCACAAATCACGCATGTACTGGCTGAAATGCTTTAAATATGAAATAAATACCTAGAAATCTAAAGTGGCATATCTAAGCCTACGGCTGAAAGATTTTTCAATTAGAATTTCAAAACCTCGACCTTCAAATACATTGACCGTCGATTCATCTATTGACTATCCAGATATCGCCACCACACTGCCCAGTAACCAGCCATGCAATGACTGACATACTCAAGAATCAAGGCAAGAATCAAGCCTGTATGAATGAATGCAGGTTTATTAGCCCAACATGTCGTACATGTCTGAGCCCTGATGCCGACAGCTGTGGAGACAAGGAAACCAAATCAGGCGAGCGAGTGACACTTCATGATAAAGCGCCGTACATCCTGCCTAGCTCCCCTGACTGCTGCACCCATGCTTCAGTTTAATGAGACATTCACCGCTTGTGTTCAATAGATATAGATTATTAATAACCCTAATGCATTAATCAGTGTTATGTGTTCAATGGATATAGATTATTTCTAAATTAGAACCTTCAGCGTCGGGATAATCAGCTTCATTCGCTTAATAGATAAAAGTTATTAATTATCCTGAAACCTTCAGCGTCGGGATAATCAGCTTCGTGTGCTCAATAGATAAAAGTTATTAATTACTATGAACCTGAATTAATCAATTTATTATCATATTAATTACCAAGAAGAGATTGCTTTGTGCATTTACGTGCAGACTCTATGCCGGAAATAAAAATTGGTGTGAAAGAAGAGCATTTACTGTTCATTTAATGTTAGACTGTTTAAATTTTTTGACTGAAAATTACATTGTTGTGACTATAAATAAATTTTTATTTTCGTGGCAGTTGTTAATATGTGTGCATAAAATGCATTCATCCGACAATTCTTGATTTTTGTGCCAGAATTTAACACTTTTGAGTCTGGAGAGAAAGATTTTGAATTCTGTTCCGAATTAGAGCTTCGAAAACGGGATAATATGTTTTTAGTGCAAGGAAAAAATATTTTAATATCCACTCGTCCGTTGTAGATGAGTATTTTTCAACCTGACCTACAACATAAGGAGAGGAAAATATTACTAAATTCCAGAAAAAATACGACTGTGTCTAAATATCGTATATGCAGCTTGAGTAAAATCAAAACTTTCACTGCAGTAAAATGTACACTTTCGCTATAGAAAAATATAAACTTTCGCCTTCCTTCTGCGCCTTCGATAAAAAAAACGGCCATTCATGTTTTTTTGCAATCCTCCGTATTATATGATACTCTTGTCATGCAATGATATGATTAAGAAATATTTTTCTGTAGAGATTTACAGCCCAAAACTTTATTTCTTAAGTTTCACTACCCTTTAGAGAATTTGATGAAGAATTGAAAATGATTTCCTGACAACAATTATTTAAAAAGCCATACAAGAAATCGTTAAAGATAGTAATTAGTTGAAATTTTTTCATAACTTCTTTGGTTTATCGGGAAAAATCTGTTTTATATATACGGAAGTGATGCTGTTCACACATCTTTGATTATGTAAGATAGTGTAAATCAAAATAAAACGTTGTGTAGAATCAGCCAAGTAATCCTAATTATATTATTGTGTATGCCATTCAATATTGCGCAATAATATGTAATATTATTAATAATAAAAGCATTGCGTACTCAGCAGTATAATATAATAAGTCGTTTGAACGCTGCCTAACAGATCGCTTGTTAAATTAATTTAACACTGGAAACTTCCAGTCAAATTGAAATGAATAATTAAAACTCATGGGTTTTATAAAGCTCATTCTCATGAAGCTTTTAACACGGAAATAAACTTAATGATGCAAAGTCACGAATTTCAAGAGTCTGAGCGTTTAGCTTATTCTCTGCATGGTTATGTTTTATTGATGTTATTTGTAGGAAAAATTCTATCAAAAACTTTCAAAATATAATATAATATACATCTTTAGATACATTACTATAGACAATATTTATTTAAAAAATCTCGAACTTTTTGGAAAAAAATTTAACGAAAAACGAACCTAAATTTTCTGAACATGGTGACGTGAACTAGGGGAGAACCCGACGCCTTGTCTCACGCTCGGCTCAGCCAGCAGCTTTAGCTGCGGTGACACCCGATACCGGATGAGGTCCGTAGAGAAGGAGAAACAAAAGGCTTTCGAGGAGGAGAAGCCAAAGGCAATCGAGGAGGAGAAGCACAAGGCCATCAAGGGAAGGAAGCATAAGACCATCGTTGAGGAGAAGTAAAGGGCCATTGAGGAAAGGAAATGAAGCTAAAGGCT